TCTCTCTCCCCCTCTCTCAATCTCTTCTTGTCTTTGTTTGACTTCATCCCAAGTTTCATATGGATCATAATTTAGAACGTCAGGTTCAACTATAGGTGTTTTTCCTAACCCCTGAACATACTTATCAAATTAATCCTTAGTAATTGTTCAATTAAATCAAGCACTTTCTTCTTCCTAGGGGTGAGTTTTTTCTTAACAATAACAATTTCAGGCTCAACATTTGGATGTTTTCCCTTCACTAGTGACCTAGCTGCTGCAACAACCTTAATGTCCTTAAGACCATCCCCAACCCATATATAAATCACTTTCTTATCAGCCAAGTTTGCAAATATTTTCATTAAATCACTATCACTCTCAAGATTCACATGCTTCATTTTATACACATACTTAAATGTGGGATTTGGGATATTTCAACATACCTTTCTTGTGTCTATTCCCAATACTCTACAACAAGGTCCATCAAATTCACCTTATCTATATCACTAACAAAAACATAAACATCTTTAGCCCTATATTGAAACTATAGCACTATATTATCAACCATTCTGCAACAAGCACACAAATAAACAAGAACTGATCACTACTTGTGCAAGAGTAATACCCTATAGAGAAATCAAAGCAACCAAACAAAGATAACAACTTTTTTAACACAACCATGCAATTCTTGCACATACACTAGTAAAAATATTAACTCCAACAATTTAGACTATCAATAGGCCATAATTCACCATCAAAATCACCAACATTGCATATTAAACCCAAAAACAAAGCAAAACACAATGTAAAGCACAAGTTAATACATACATTACTTCAATTGAAACTATTAGTGGTGTATAGCTTCTAAAGATCGAACTTTGTTTACAAATAAACTATCGTCGAGCAAATTTGACCCCAAAAACTAGCGCAATCGTCACAACAATTTCCATTATTTTCAACAAAATTATCCCTAAAACCCCCTCGATTTAACTATTTACGATTGAGATATTACTACAATAAAAACACCCAAAACCCAGAATTACCGGCCCTATTTTTTTCGCTCATGACATGATATACAAATTCCCCACTCTTTGATTTTCGAACTGCAGTAGATGAAGAAGATGGAAGGCTTTTATACTCTTATCAATTTTGATTAGACATGAGTGGGTGAAGGGATTTAATTAGGGGCATTTTCAGAACGCAAACTATTGGGTACATCCACCCGTACCCAAGTGTTTGTGCGTCCACCCACACCCAAACCATATCAGACAATGACGACGAAGACAACGATGATGATGACGGCAATGGTGGATGACAACAATGACGATATTGGCTATTGAAACCCTAGATTGTGGTGGCTCACAACAGAGGAAGGGTGGTGGATCATAGCAGGACAAAAACAGGGGAGGGGTTGTGGTAGCTGGAGTACTACAGCAGCAGGTTAGGCTGGTGGCTGGTTGGGTGTGACGTGAGGTTAGAGTGGTGGGTTAGGGTAAGCGAGGTTAGGGTCGTGGTTTGTAAGCTCTTGGGTGGTGGCGTGAGAAACAATAGCATGAGAAGCAATGGGTGGTGGCATGGGAAATAATGGCATGAGAAACAAAGAGAAACAATGGCGTGATAAACAGAGAAAGGAAGAAAAAGGAGAGAGGAAGAGGGAGAAAGAGGAGATAGAAAGAAATAAATATGGTAGTATCATATTAGCCAACAAATAACTCATATCAGCCATCAAAATGTACATATCAGCCAATTGAGGTATGATATCAGCCATTATTAGGGACATATGACATTTTTTTTTTTGGAAAATAAGAATTTTATTGCCTAAATAAGAAAGTTACAAACTTACAAGAAGCTAAGTTGTAACAACACCAAACACCACACACCAAAAAGGCCAAACCAACACCAAAAGTCCAAGAATCTACCCAAACCACCTTCTAGGAAGGGTGCTTGAGAGAAACAAGGACAACTACTGGACTCAAGCTCACAGCCACCTTCTAGGAAGGGTTCTGAGAGCCAGGACCAGACAAGAACATCTAAGGCAAAAGCAGCACACAAAAATAGGCAAAAACAACAGCTTAAAGCACCAAAACCAGCCTATACAAGCAAATAAAGAAGCTAAAGCAGCTAAAAAGAAGAGAGACACTAAACCACCAGCTGCCAAGACAAGAAACCAAAAACAGCACCCAAGCTGCAGCAGATTTGCAGACAGACAAGCTGAACAAAATGAAATAGCAGCAGCAGCAAACCAGCAACAACAACAGCAAACCAGCAACAGCAGCAGCAGACCAGAACAGCAGCAGCAACAGACCAGAAATAGCAGCAGCAGAACAGAACAGTCTGCCAAAACAGAGCAACTGCATATCAAAAGCAGCTCCATGCAAACCAAGCTGCAGCAAACAGAAACCCAAGCTGCTGCAGACTTCAGAACAACAACAGCAACCAGGAACCAGAACAGAACAACAGCAAACCTGCAGCTCCCTGTCAAAACCAACTAAGTAGAATATTACACAATCAAGTACTTGCTTCCAGCTGGGATTCTACAAGCTGAATGAAAGATAATATTCTTAACTAGAACATTAGCAAGCTTGCAACAACCAGTAAACAAAACTGCATTCCTCTGTATCCAAATACCATAGACTGTTTCAGTGAAGGCAACTTGGATCACTTTGTTTTTCATTCTGGAACTTCTGCAGATTTTCTTCAACCATTCAATCTCATCATCAAACTGCTGAACAGGCTTGGAGACATGTAAAATACTCAAAACCTTGTTCCAAACCTGTCTAGAGTACTCACAATCAAAGAATAAGTGTTGAACACTTTCATTACTATTCAAGCAAAAGAAACACCTTGGATCACAAGAGATGTGCCATTGTAGCAACCTATCCTTAGTGACAAGCCTATCTCACAAAGCTAGCCACAAGATAAACATACTTTTAGGAGTTACCAAGTTATGACAAATGACCCTCTTCCAAGGAACCTTAGGGACTTGAGGCCTAATAGTAGCATAAAGCTTCTTGATTTTTATCTTATTGCCCTGTATGAAACCATCCCATCCCCCTTGATCATTCACAATATCTCTACAACTCAGAATTTTCTTCAAAAACCAAGAGCATTTAGCAGGGATAAGAGTGGTCCAACAATCTTTATGCTTGAAATAATAAATATGGACCCACTTAACCCAAAGATTATCAGCCTTGTGAGCAATATCCCAAAGTAACTTAGTGACAGCTGCCTTATTCCACTCAGGGAGAGAAAGTAAGTTCCAGCCACCACAGACTTTAGGAAGACAGACATAGTTCCAAGCAACCAAAGATTTCTTAGCAGGAGCAAAGGAGCCAGTCCAAAGAAAGCATCTGAATCTAGCCTCAATCTCTTTCAGAATTTTCTTTGGTAAGATAAAGATTTGAGCCCAATATGTCTGAATACCAAACAGCACACTCTTAACCAACTGGAGCCTCCCGGCATAGGACAAGTGTTTAGCCATCCACCCTTGAATTCTAGCAGTCACTTTCTCCACCAAAGGCCTATACTGAGCAATTGTAAGCTTCTTAGAAGAGAGAGGGACCCCAAGATATCTAAAAGGAATAGAACCTTGAGAAACACCAAGAAGCTCTGTAAGTTTTGTCTGAACATCAACAGAAACTCCTCCAAAGTAAACTTCACTTTTATCAAGGTTAGCAGAAAGCCCTGAAGCACCAGAAAATTTCAAGAAAACTTGGAAGAGAAGCTTGACAGAAACACTATCAGCTCTAGAAAACATCAACAGATCATCAGCAAACATCATATGAGTTAGGTTTAACTTTTCACATCTATGATGAAAGTTAAAATCAGGAGTTAACCTAAGCTCATCAAGTCATCTAGAAACATATGAGATATTAATAAAAATACATCAGTCAACACAAGAAGCATATAAGCCAACAAGAATAATATATCAACCAACAAGAGTAAAATATTAGCCAACAAGAGTAAAATATCAGCCAACAAAAGGTAATTATCATCCAAGAGACGGAACACATCATCTAGCAAAAGAAGCATATCAACGAACAAGATGATGAAATCGACAAACAAAAGGTACAAATAAGTCAATAGAAGGAACATATCAGCCAACAAATGAAGCATATCAGCCAACAAATAATGAAATCAGCAAACAAAAGCAATAGGTAAGCCATCAAAATAAACATATCAGCTAACAAAATAAATCATATAAGCCAACAATTAAAATATACATATCAACCAACAAAATAAATATATCAGCCAACTAAAGAAATACATAAGACAAATGATGTCTGATACTAGCCAACAAAAGAGAAAAAAAAACCATTATAACCAACAAAAGGAATATATTAGCCAACATAAAAAACCATATTAGCCAACAAATGAAACATATCAGAAAACACATGAAACATATCAGTCAGCAAGTAAAATATATCAGCCAAGCCTTCCGCAACAAAATATTCGTACATCAATACTCACGGAATACCTTCTCTTTTAGGAAACTAACATATTTTTTAAAAATTGTTAACCATGGTTAGGCTTTAACCTAATAACATCATTAATGTTACAATTAACTTAATGTAATAACAAATTGAGGTTTACCAAGGATAATTAAAATTTTTAGTGTTCATCATTGAGAAAATTAGAAAGATTAGGGTTACCATTGAGGATTTCCCTAATTTTTTTAATTGTTAGAAGTTTTTGCTAATTGTTAAAGATGAGCACATTTATTTATTTTTTCTTTGCTGATTTTATTAGTATAACATACATGGTCCAAACCCTTCTCTAATTCTTGTTTACTTTATATCCAATTACGAACAAATAGACAAAGTAATCTTCTAATTTACCCCAATAACAATTCTAAAATTTAACTCAAAATATGTTTTATGTCAGTGAAGATATGTTATTACGTCAGTAACTCTACGTAAATAGACAAAGTAATCTTCTAATTTTGTTAATTATTTAAATTACTCAGTAAATTAGCAAATTTTGTAAGCGGCAGTTTCTAACAAGATACAACTGGTTGTATGATGCATAAGCTATGGATATTATAAACTACAAGAAATAAGTACATTCCAATTGTGCGATACTTGTGATTAAAGCTATTGAACCCATCTATCTTATTAAAAAAATGCAGTAACCCATTTGCCAATCCAACAGCAACTCCTCTCCTTGATTCTCTCCCAAAAAATAGATATAAAAAAGAAAGAAGTAGAAGCAATAATTAAGTGATTATTATTATTAGTTTTCAGGAGGTACGTAAGTTCCTATGAGTTGTGACCATTCCTCACAGGCTCACATTACACTCCATAAATACCCACATCTTAACCACTTCCTTATTCCCAATTTCACTACTCTTCACCCCATTCTTTCCTGTTTGATTCCCTCTCTTTTTTGTCTCTGTCGACCTTTTTCTTACACACACCCACCCGCGTATAGGCCAATAAATGAGCAACATGAGGGTGTTTAATGTGTTTTGTTTCTGCGTAATAGCCTTGCTTTCAATTTTTTCGTCCGTGAATGGCAGAGTTCCAGGTGTTTACCAAGGTGGCCCGTGGACACCTGCTCATGCTACCTTCTATGGCAGCGATGATGCTTCTGGAACTATGGGTATGTTACTATATATATGCATCAATACTTTCTGTTTAATCCCTTTTTTGTTAGTTATATTTAAGTTGCTGAATCAACGTACTTTATCTGTCCTTTATTATTTGCACCATTTGATCCAAAAAGCTCTCACATAAAATGGGCCCATAATATAAACTACAGGGGACTGGGAGTATCGTTTAGCTAGTTTTGTTTGAGTTTGTAAGACGTTACTTTCTTAAGTACAAGGCCCCATTTTGAAAAAGTCCAATAGTTTGACTTCTATTAGTACTATTATGGTAAAATTAAGAATCCTCTTTTTGCTTACTTATTATATGTGTTTGTTTTTATGGAATTTTACATAAGACATCGTTTAGGTGATAAATAAAACGAATGTATAAAGTTTGTAGATAAGTATTTTTTAGAGTGAAGTCAACGTATTTTCTTTGAAAAAGAATCTACATCATTTTCACATTACATTATGCTTGATCTATACAAAATTCTATATTATACTTGTATACTAAAATCTTGTTCTTTAGTAGTTAATTCTAATTCAACCCAATTCAACTGAAATGAATAGGGCCGCGTAAGTGTCATTCTGACTTAAGGATACATGTAAAATTATCTCAAATAATTATTCTACTCATACTTAGAACTATTGATAAGTAATACTGATTCATGTGAGTAATATATGAAGGCATTACCTGTCTAAATTCTTGGTGGGAATACGTATGTTATTAATTTAACACTACATTTTTTATTATTGATGAGCTTAGTGATATCATCTCATAGTAGAGAGTGCCTCTAGTGGTTAAAGCTTCTCATTTAGTTCATGTGATCCCAAGATTAATTCTCTCACTTGTCTTTAAACACCAAAAAAAAAATGTATATCTGAGAACAAAGATAACATATTCAATAGAAAATTGTAAGAATTGTTGATTATGATAAATGATACATATGTTTCCCAAAATAAAATGCAGGAGGAGCATGTGGGTATGGAAACTTATACAGCGCAGGATACGGAACAAGTACTGCAGCACTAAGCACAGCATTGTTCAACAAAGGTTTAACATGTGGTGCATGCTTTGAGCTCAAGTGTGTTGATGATCCACAATGGTGTAATCCTGGCAACCCTTCTATCACCATTACTGCCACCAATTTTTGCCCTCCTAACTATGCTCAATCGAGCGATGATGGTGGCTGGTGCAACCCTCCTCGCGAGCATTTTGACCTCGCCATGCCTATTTTCAGCAAGCTTGCCAAATTCAAAGCCGGAATCATCCCTGTGAATTACCGCCGGTGAGTTTTTTTTCTTTCTCTAACCCGGAAAGTTAATTTTACGAATTTTACATGTTTTTTGCAAGTTATAAATAATAATTAACTCTGAATAAACTAGGTTTATGCTAACAAAATAATTAGTTACATTGGTTAAAGTCTTAGCTTAAACATTGCTATTGCAGCTTCCCTTTACACCATAAAAACACCACTTTGGTTACAAACAATGTCTCAAATGATAAACATAAAATTTGTCATGGGTTCATAAACTTTCAATATTTGTAATCAAGGAACGTAATAATAATAAGATAGTTTTATAATTATATTTGTAATAAAGATCTCATTCTAATATCTACGTTAATATAAAAACTCTATTTTCAAAATTATGCTCAATTCAATGAAATTCCAACACTAACCTCGACCATATTGAATAAGATATTAAATGGAAAAAAAAAAATATTAAATGGAAAAAAAAATTAATAAGATATTAAATGGAAAATATATATATATATATATATATATATATATATATATATATATATATATATATATATATATATATATATATATATATATATATATCTTAATTCGTAATTGTGTTTCCAAAATTTAAGAAACCGTCTTTAAGTAAATTACAAACAAAACTAATCATTAATCACTAATCAACACCATTTCATTGGACATAAGAGTTTTTAATTATGATTTTTTGAGAGAAGTGAGAATGGGCCTATATAGATGTATGGATCTTTCCTTTCTTAAATTATGACCTTAAATAGAATATAAAATTAACTTGATAATAACAAAGTTGATCATATATTCATATTCATATTTGATTGCATTGGTAAATGGTCCAAGCCCCATGTAAATCACAAAGAAACTGACCAATTCTCTTGTCTTTTACTCAAATAAGGTAAATCCATTAGATCGTCAAAAAAAAAAAAAAAAAAAAAAAAAGGTAAATCCATTAGAAAGTTTTCGGTGGATATATAGCTTACATATTGCCTCTTCAAGAAAAGATCCAAAGTTTTCAATCACTAAAATCTAACAAGGTCATTAAAAGACAAGAACTCTTCTTGAGTAGTCCTCCATATAAAAACATAAAAACATCGTTTTAGAAAGTGTATATGTACATTAATAAAAGAAAGTTGGAAGGTGGTTTCTTATGTTAATACTAATATAAAAATTCCATAGTATATTAACTTAAGTTAAATAATTAGTTTGGAACGTCAATAATTCTCCATCTTATTTGCATTTGCAAAGGCACAAATCTATTTTATAGTATTGTAAAGAAATGAACATCAAAACTGCAAAAAAAATTAAGTTATATTATATACAGGTCTCAAAATAATACTTCTTATAATTTTAAAAAATTATGACAAAAACAGACATAAATCACAATAGGAAATATCGCATATAACAATTTCCACTAATAAGAAAAAAATTATATACTGCGTATATGTGCGTGAAAGGCGGATGACGCACCAGAGGACGCAATATGAGAGCATGAAAATATAGTACAGGACTGAGCGAAGAATCCGAATGAGGCACATGCAGATAATGCAGTGACGGATCTGTCTTCGTTCATGGGAATGGGTCATAATGTCATATCATGTTCCCACCTCAATTATTATTCATTTTTTTAAATTAATGAGATGTTTTAAAACAAATAATAATGGAAGATAATTAGATAACATGCTCCTTAATTTTATAGATTTATTATTTCACGATTATACATGCATATTAAAAGTGTGATTAGTGATTTACATATAAACTCCCAAACCGACAAAAAAAATTGAAGCTTTGTGTTTAGTTAAATAAATTATTTTGATTATTTGCATTTTGCAAGTTGCAACACTTACTGCATCATAAATTGTCACACATTGACTACAACATAAATATTTAACATAAATAATACATATCATATATGGTGACAAAATTAAAAATTATATATGAAAAGAAAGGAAACACAGCTTTTTATTATTTCTAACATTCTTTTTGAGACAAATTTACTATTGCTTTCTGTAAAAAATAACCCGAACTAATAACTACGGAATAACACATAATAAACTTATGAAGTTGATGAATTAATATACTACCTCCGTTACAAGTTATGTACAACGATTTGACATAAAGCAAAGAGAGAAAATGTCTAATCGTTGCACATAAACTGAGGTTGTATTTAGCTTTGAGTCACACAAGCCAAGTCATTATCTCTTTTAAGTTAAGTCATTGAATTTAGTCAGAGTATTGAGTCAGTTTATAATATACTGTCTCGTCTAATTTATGTTTATATTTGTGTGAATAGGGTTCCATGCAGGAAGTCGGGAGGAATAAGATTCACAATGAACGGTTCACAATACTTTAATTTGGTATTGGTCACAAATGTTGCTGGAGCAGGAGATGCCATACGTGTAAGAGTGAAGGGTACAAAAACAGATTGGTTAAGTATGAGTCGTAATTGGGGTCAAAATTGGCAATCAAACGTCGTTTTGGTTGGTCAAGCCCTCTCCTTCCGAGTCACTACTAGTGACCATCGTACCTCTACTACATTGAACTTGGCACCGGCTAACTGGCAATTTGGTCAAACATACGTAGGCAAGAATTTCAAAGTACGCTAATTAATATAATTAATAATCTCATGGATTAATTAATTAATTACATCCCTCTCAGCTTAATTATATTATAATTATTATTCCATATGCATGCAATTTTTAGTTTATTTCTCAGCATCTCTAATTGTATTCTCTTTTATTTTCATGAGAAAAATAGAGTGGTGGAGATATATAGGTCATTTATAGTAGCATATTATATATTCAATCACTTATCTTGAGTGAGGGTTAATTAGTTACTATTGTCTGTCAAAATAGTAACTAAATATGCTTGTTTTATAGTGGCTGAAGCGGTTGCAAATGACAAAATCAAAACGTAACCCGCAGTTTACTCTTTTTATTACGGAGTATTATTATTTTATACTCCATATATAAAACGTATAAGTGTGTTGCATTGTATTTCAATGTTTACTAGTGATTCTTGCTAGTGTATCAAATAAATAAAGTTATTGTTCATTGTTACTTCCTTTTAAAATGAACGGTTTACCAAGTCTTTTTTTCTATATTATGTTTCATACTTCCTCCGTTTCCATTTAATTGACGCATTTGATTTAGGCCATTTATATTAAGAAGAGGAGAGAGAATGTGATAATGAAAAAGCAAATAGGGTAGCTTGTAAATGCAAGGTAAAAAAGTTACCTCAAAAGAAAATGTGTCAACTAAAAAAAAACATCCTAAAAATGAATACGTGTCAGCTATAAAGAAACAGAGGTAGTATAACATACTACACGTAAAAATGATCCATCCTAATTCTCTCAGCAGTTAAATTGACTAAGATATTACAGAGTCACGTTTAAGCTCGATTAGATCCAATCAAATGCACAATACTACCTTCGTTTCATATTGCAACAATTTAATATAAAGTGTGAGTAGAAAATATTTAATCATTATATAATATGAAACTGAGATAGTATATCAAACGACTCTACGCTCTACGACGCGACATCTAGTATTTCTCTTATAAGGGATTGTTTATGGTTCGAAAAGGGTACACATAGACATAGTCTATGTATATCCCACATAGACATTCACTATGGTGAATTTCTATTGGTTGAATTTTAGCCCCACCTTGACCCATCCCAAAATTCTGAAAATTTCACTTTCAAATATTTCAGAATTGAATATTTAAATTTCAAATTTGGAAATTGAAAATCAATGTATATATGGCGGGTTATGAGAAAGAGTAAGGAGTAGTTTAAGAAGAGGAAGGTGATCCAAGAAAGGTAAGCAATGACGGAGGACAAAATTAAGAAAGTGAGGTGGTTCAAAGACGATAAACAACAACAAAGACGGTGGGCGGTTTTCAAAGCCAAACTATGGCGAGGTTGAGCGGAAGAGACGACGGAGTTCTGGTGCAGTGGTTGAATGTAGTGGTGGGTCAAACGATCATTTTAGCAGAAGAAACCTTAGTTAATTATTCAATGTATTGTTCTAATACGAAAAATGGAGTAGATTTTTTTAGTAATTCTTCATTTTTATTATTTTGGTATCAAAAATGAATTTGTAAATGTTTCAATAATAAAATTAGTATCAAATTATTAGGTGTGGTATATGGACATCACCTTCTTAAGAAAATAAACAAATTAGTATTATTTTCGGTAAATATAAATAAAATTGAAAAGGCTGGTGGCGCTTAGGAATGGTTTTTCAATTCCGTGGTCGGATGTATGGGGTTTTAAGTCGGTTGTTCAAGTTTGTAATTTTTGGAGGTCGGTGGTTCAGGTGAGTCTCGAGGATGGTTATGAAGGTGAGTTTAAGGTTCTAGGTTTTGAAGTAAGTGGCTAAGGTGAGTTAAGCCGTTAGGGGATTGGATTTTGAGGTGGGTTGTTGAGGTGGGTTTGGATGGGTCTCGGGTGGCGTTTATAGAGGGGTTGATAAAGGGGTTGGCCTAGGTGGCCAAAAAGATGGTTAGTCGCTAGCAAGGGGGGATATAAAAGGGTCAAGGGTGAGAGGGGTGGTCCGTTTGGTGGTCGGTGGTGGATGGAGTAAGGGCTTCCATACATGTAGTGGGAGACTTGGGGTGGGCGGTTATTTTAAGCTTATTATAGTATTTAGTAAATACATTAAGTATAATTGTGTTGAAGCCATCTGATTTATTTAAAGAGAAGTATCCTTAAAGATCAAAAGATTTAATTATTTGGAGCTAGCCGCACAAAAATTAGCTTATTGTTGAAAATATTTCTAAATTTAACTATTAAGAAGATTGCACTTGCACATTATAAAATATCTCAAATTTTCTTTTGTAACTCTATTATCTATTAGGGAAAATTATTAATTAGTTAACTTTTTTGGGAGTTGCTTAAATTTTAATGGAGAATCTAAGTTAAACATTTGCAAAAATAAAACAAGTAAATACCATGATTAATGTTTGAAAATGTGTGTCGATAATATTGCTCGATCAAGATGTTGGTGAAAATACCAACATGGACTAGACGGGTTTAGGGTTAACATATTAAAAGCGCACATGAATACGAGAAGAATAAAGTAGAGGCCTATTATTAGGGCAGGTTCAATCTCTTTTAGGTTGGATTTGTACCTTCATCCCCGAACTTCCAGTCATGGTTCCAGACCTATAGGAGTTAAGGATCTCCTGGATCGTTATGGGTGTAACCTTCATCCTGTGAACGGTTTACAAGTTCCTAAAACTTGTTGGCAACTCTTTTTCTCTAGATTTCTTCCCTTTGAACGCCACCATGCTTAAGTGTATGATCACACTAGGGTTCAAGTTTGGGGTAATGCTTGAAATATTCCCTACAGTTGGGTAGTGGGTGAAGATACGGGTTAGGTGGGCTAGGGTGGTGGCTAGTGTCGTGGGGTGGTGGCTGCTGGTGGGGTAGGTATTTTTTTTGTTTTTTTAAAAGCATTTTCCGACGAAATTTCCGTCGGAAATGTATGACGGACTTTCCGGCGGAATACAGTCCGCCGTACATTTCCGACGGACTATTTCAGGCCTTAAAATAACTTCCGACGTACTGAATTCCGTTGGAATAGTGGTTCCGCCGGAAATTCTGTCAGAAAAGGGCCTTTTTCCGACAAAAGGTTTTCCGACAACCAGTTCCGACGGAAAACGGGATGTTTCCGATGGAAAATTCCCGTCGTCATTTGCCTGTTTTCTAGTAGTGACATAACAATACTATTAAAGGTCACATAAGTTTAAATAAAGTTTACTATGTTAAAATTAGGGTCAATATGTTCAACAAAATGTTAGGTGGACTTTTGTCCACAATAATATTATTAAAATAAGTTTTAAGAATATTATTGAGAACCAGTTTAACAATCATTTAAATTATATATCATTCCAAATATTTAATATATATTATGTTTAAAAAAATAATATTAATGTAAAGATATCTTTTCCCCCCAAAATCAATTTAATATTTTACAATTACACATAGAAAACGACGAGTTTTTAGTGTGGTTGGATGACACCTACCAAAACATCGACCAGGTAACCCCTGATTGAGCAAACCATGAATAAGTGACCCCCGACTGACCAAATAACCCAGACCATGACTAATCGACTAGTAAGACCCAACCAAGTAACTCCGACTACACGGTGTGATCAGCCACATATGAAACATTGTGTTATGTATCCAAGAAAATTTTGCATGCAAATAGAGAAGATTTCAAGCACAAGGAATGAGGCAGTAATTACAATGTAAAGTAAAATTCATTGGACAACTATGAGTTATTAAAGTAATTTACCTATTAATGGTATGTTATGTTCACTAAATAAGTTTAGATCGGTTCAAATAAATTTCGATTGGATTTTATCAGATTTAATGTGATTAATAACTTTTAGTACATTTTAGTTGAGTCAGATAAGTTTTAATAAAGTTCCATTAAAGTTTCAGTCGTGTCTAAAAAGTTTTATTCAAGTCTAATATGATTATATAAATACGTTATTTATGTTATTAGTAGTTTATTTTATAATTACACCATTGTTTTTTTTTTATTAGAAAAATTTGTTAAAAAAGCTTTTATAGCAACATTCTTGTCAGAAAAACTTTAAAAATATATTTGGCAAGTTAAAACGTAACTGTTTTTTTTTTTTTGTTAAAGACAACCAAGAACCTCTAATTCATTTAATTACCCTCGAATTCCCCCCATTTCTTCTAATTACCTTTAACTTAATTAATTATTTAACAATTAAATTACTTATAAAAAAAAACTTACCATCACCTCCACTACCCAGTCATCCTCACCCTGTCAGTATCCGCTCTCCCCCACCTGATGAGTCGCCAATCAAACCCCCCCCCCCACCCCTAGCGACCCATCACCACCACCGGCTGACCCCCCTCATCTCCTCTTCACACTCCATTACAACTTGTGGGGCGTGAGCTATTTGAAGATCTTCCTCTTCCTCCCCACTCTCCATTAGAAAACTTCATTAAGATCATCATAATAATAACACACGGTCCTTTTCAATACAAATTTGCCTTAAGATACAGATTCTCTACAATTATCACAAAATACTTGATATATAGCTTATGCTGCTCATATAATTATATTTCTTAATAATGATACCAAATTTCATACAATTATACCAACATTAATTAAACTGATACTAGAAAAATTCATGTGACACTAACATAATTACAACATGTTTTATAAATTCACAATTTGCTAAGCTAAAATATATCTAACCAATAACCATTATAAATCAACATTCTAATAGTCCTTATCTTCAAATACGGTGTATTTAATCACTAATTTACAATAATCACCATCAAACTTTAAGTAAAATCAATAAAAATTCATTGCAAAGCCTATTTCTTCAACTGTATCAAATTCTATTAATAACTTACAACCATCTAAATAATGAAAGTTATGGTTCAATTAGTAATTCAAGTTGATAATTTGTATTTTATTTTTAAATGAACTCAAATTTAGATTACCCATGGCAACAAGAAGATGAATGTTGTTTGGCTCCTATTCTAACAATTTCGAGAATACCTTCAACTTCATTAGCCATTAATGGTTGCTCAACATTTAACAAACTAAATTGGGATGTTGAGATTAAATTTTTATGAAATTTCAGCGCTAAAAATTTTCACTGCATTTGAGCGCTAAATTTCCCTCTTCTTTCTACAATAATGGCGGACTTTATTAAACTCTTACCGCTTTTAAATCCCGCCTTCATAGAATAATCTGCATTTTATCCTCGATAGGTTGCACATCTATTTAACATACTTCTTATCTGCAACAAACAAGAAGCTACGAACTATTGACATTCGAGCAATTGTGTCGGTCTAATAAAGTCCTTTAACTTGATGATTAATTACCATGAATTACCAATAATACCTTTAATCTCTGCTAATTTCATGTTCATTGTTTCAACCTATACACACACTTGTTCAGTTGTTCCTAAGCCCCTTTTTCCTTGATGGCAAATCTTCCAATTAGGGATAAGCAAACCTCGCACTTGGTAAAAATTTTAGGAACTAGACTCACAATCGGTTAGGACTAATTCCCAAAAATTGAAACCAGAACTGGAACCAATCAATACTATTCCAAAAGTTTCTTTCATATTTATTTTTATAAAGTAAAATCCATCTATAATCTTACATTAATACATTAATACAAAATTTGTTTATACTTCGTATTACTCATAGTTAAAGTCGTTCTCTTCTCTATCAAAAAAAAACAAAGTCGTTCTCTTCTCAAAATGATGATACCAGTGGGACAAACTATTTTCAAATTTTAGTGTTCATATGGACTACGACCCAGATTACAATCAAGATTAACACTGAAGAATAATAGGTGTATTTTTTTAGGAATAGAGCACAACAAAGAAATTAGGAATTATGCGCACAATTTTGCTAATGGCGCTTCTTTTGCTTCATTTCAAAAGCAATTTCTGTTTGTTTTCACTATTGATGACATTTAATTAAGTTAAAGCAACTAAATATGACCGGCAGCCAGGTCAAACAGAATAAGAACACATGGTCGTAGGGGCTCATATAGATCAATAACTATCACAATGCAATCAATGCCCAGAGACCCACAGAGGTTTTAGGAGAAAGATGTCTAGAAATTAAAGCAGAGATTTTTAAGCCAAGGCTAAAATTTCAGCTGTAATCACAGTTTCTGAATCAAGTCATCCTATTGTCATTATGAAAACACCCCAAAATTGCATTGGACCTGCAAACACAAATGCATCATCATCCTCGATAAATGAGGAACAATCCAGCTTATCACTTTATCAGAGGTCCAACAAAGGCAAAATTCCCCGCTAATACTGGAAGATACTAAAAACAATCAATGCTATGGACTTGGCATTAGTTATGCACAAGGGCATATGCTTAATCTTGGGTAGGAGCGCCCTGGTTAAGCTCTGCAAATCTCAGACCCACACGCATAGAGTGCTTCAGGAATTTCTCAGCACACCTCCGGACACATGTCTCCTCGTGCTTGTCAAGAGTTTTACGTCGGAAGGAGTCAACGCAGTCAGTGAAGCATCTCTCCACCAGAGAATTGTACATCCTTAGACTGAATCAATTTCAATAATTTTTAAATTTATCAGTAATCCATCCAAAGATAAATACAGTGAAGTTCTCTGAGAGCAAATTTTGGGGAAAACATAAAAGGTCAAGGATTAAATTCGACTATTGTAAACCAATTCAAAAGTTTAAGTCACACAAGATATAATAACAATTAATGTTTAAAAATCTATTAAATAAATAAATAATCAGTAGAGAAACACTTTACAAAGATGTCATTTTGATAATAACACCTTGTAAAATACCATTGTTGCATACTTGCATGGCTTGGAGAAGACTTGGATTTTACTGTGTGCAATTAAAAAAATATACTCCTCTTTACCAAAAAAAAATTAAAAAAATATAGACAAGGCCCAAAAGTGTCGTGAGATGCTGAAAAAAGATAATAATCGCTGGATAAAGGGACTACGGTTACCATTATTGATGCCTTAATAGATTTACAATGTTAATGAAACATTGCATTAAAAATGAATCCTCCAATGCATTTCTAGGACACACAAAAATGAATTATATCACTCATAATACAGTTCATAGATTTTTGCAATTACCATATGCAAACATTTCATAACTTGACCAGATTGATCAACCAAACACCTACAGAACTGAACAACTTAGATTATCTAGGGGAAAGTCGGATACTTAAGTTAAAGGGCACTCTTGACATCTGCAATAAAATAAACATTTATAGGATAGGAGCATTTTAATATCAAAATGTTCCTGCCTGACTAAAAGTATATATGTATGTACTAGTTGTTTAACTTGTGATCAATTTGGTTTTAAGGCATTATTGCGTAAACAATCTTAGATGCAGTAAGACTTTGTATCTACTTTCATATTAACCTTGCAGTAGCAAAGATTTAAATTAATTGAAAGCATACATGGGATGGAAATGTTATTAAAATCAGAAACCTGGAGTATGGATTGGAATTCCACCTAATTATATACTTGTTAGATTACGAATCTTATCACTAAAACAAATGAATTCAGAACTAATTATTTAATTCCATGTTTTTGGTTGCCTTGTATTTTAATGTATGCCTTCTTATGCTGTGATTCCATTTTTTTTTTTTTAATTTAAAAAAAAAAAGAAAAGAAAAGAAACATAAGACGAGAAATTCAATTGGACACCAAATTTTTAAGCAAATGAGAGGATGGAGATATCTGGAGGAAACGAGGATCCCAAGATGTGGCAGTAGAGTTGTTGACACACACAGATATTTACGAATTGGGCAGGAAAATCTTAACGAAGAGTGGTGGGTCTAAATAGTACAGGAAAGTGGTGCACAGAAGTATTGAGGATTGATGGGGGATAGACCCAACTGCGCTGAATTTAGTCATGAAGAAAAAGCCAGTTCTAGAAAATGAAGGTAAAGATTCTTTCATCAAAGAGAAATAAGGGATTCAAATTTTGCAAGAGAAGCTAAATAAAGGCCAGCTCATTTATGTATAGTCAGGTAAGGTAAATAATTGGGTTGACTATTCTGAAGTCAAAAGTCCTTTTAAGCCAACCAATGCTGACACTCAACTCATATCTACCCAGCCCATGTTCAAATTAATGCACCAATGTGTTACAACACAACCCCACTTTGTCACTCCATCTCAGTAACCAACAGCCCAATTATTAATGAGTTTGGGCCTAGTCTAACTATCCTATTTCTAAGCCCTCGGCCCTCACCAAATTAATCAACCCTCATTTCTCAACTGGTAAAAGTGTTAAACCCCATCTCATAACTCCACCTATCAACAATATCCAATTCTTTTCACAACGACATGGAGACACTCTCCAAACTTATCCACTCCACATTTTAATGAGACAAAAGCCATGTCTGAATTCACTCACTAAGACCACTTTTCCCAACCCATTTTTTAGAAACCCAAAATTTCCAATCCTAGGTCCTTAGTTGCCATCTCTCAAAATCTTTTCAGCCCACTCAGAATCAAATTCTACCAGCTTTTCTAATTCAAAAGGCCCCAACACCAAAACAAACCCCCACATCATCTCATCATCCCACAAAAACCTCCAAGATTATTTCACCATAGTTGCGCCACCAGTGGACGTACATAGACTCATCACTAAGTGCCAGTGGGAACCTGGCATCAATTTTCAGAATGAAAATGACCATTGTTGTCGAGGCCAGGGATTTTTAGCACCAATTACCATCCATCTTGAAAAGGTGGAAGTTAAGGCAGCTGGTAATTTAATGAATTAGCCTAAGGGGGAGGGCTGGAGGGGTAGTGTAGGCAGTGCATAATTAGTTGTTAGAATCAGCTTAGAGAAGAGGCCAGACATTTAATTAGACTAAGAAGTGTTGTATAATGAAAAATGCTGAATATCAGTGATAAAGAACTCACAGAAAATAATTTTGAGAGATTTCTTGAGTTTTAGTTTACACTTTGAGTGAGAACAAATCTCGAAAGCTTGTATCGTATTCCAGCTTTTAATGCAAATTTCCACCTTATTCTTCCTTTAAAATTTTGCGCAATTTTTTCTCATACTGGGAGGGAGGAGGGAGGCATGAGATAACAGTACTTTGAGCAGGGAGTAATTCCAAGAGCTGGATACAAGGTACAAGAGGTTGGTAAGAAGGGATTTCATACAAAAAAAATCTCAAATAGAACAATTGCGTAAATTTTTCATTCCATTCCATTCCTTAAATCCAAAATGTAGTAAACCAAAATACAATGCTACACCAACATCTTTTATGTCATATACAACACTTACCAACCCACAACCAAAAATCTTCCAACTTGTAATATACTACCTCCATTTCTTTTTAGTTGACACGTATTCCTTTTTAGTAAGTTTCTTTTAGTTAACACGTTTCCATTTGGGGTAAATTTTTTATCTTGCATTTACAAGGTACCCCACTTGTTTTTTCATTCTCTCTCACTCTCTCTTCTCTCCTTAATATGTGTGCCTAAATCAAACGCGTCAACTAAATAGAAACGGAGGAAGTACTAAATTACCATTCTGAAAATAAACCTTTATCACTTAATCCCAATTATTTCCAGCAAATTGATATTTGTGCAAAGAATTTTTATTATTTCTACTACGCACAATATAAGCAGATCATTCCTTTCCTCTTCCTCACCCTCTTAATTGATCTGTTAAAAATTGAGCATTATCGCATTAGAATCCTAAGGGAAAGAGCAGCTCGAAGTGGCGTGAGCAGAATGCAGTCGTATATTCAAGGCTCACTACAACAACCACTGATCTAACAACCAACTTTAAAGCTCAAATACTTTCAAACACAAGTACGCTTTCAAAGCAAGACAACCCCAAAGCATTAGAATCCTCTAATACTTCCTATTCTAGTTGCACAACTAAACAATCGAATCATCAGATTCCTCGACAAAATCACTATCAATTCGATACCAAATTTACCATTTCAAAGTCCCAATTAAGAACTCAGAAAACCACAGATGCCTAATTCAGCATCACAAAGCCGAAAAAAGTCAAATACATTAGATTAAAAAGGATCTACAACTATTCAAATCCCCAAAATCTTCACAAATTAGAAGCAATCAAAAGCCTTAAACTTGTACTATGAATAAATTCAATTAAAAGGCAAAATCAAATCGATTTTTCTGAAACATGAGTGAGAGAGGACCTGTCGCGAATTTGGAGCTGGTCGATCATGGCAGCCATTTTCATCTTATCTTCTTCAGGAAGATTGTCGAGGTCTCCGAGCATGTTCTTGTCCATTTTTGCAGAGTTGCCGGCTACAATTCTCTATCTAAAACCTTTGCTGAATGTTGTGCCTCTCTTATTCGTGTTTCTATCACCACAGCTTAAACCCTAAAATGCAATGAGTAAATGAGTATTAGACCCTTTGATTCTTCTTCACGAAATTTTAAGCGGTTGCATTTGACGATAACACCCTCTCTCTTTAAAAATAAAAAATAAAAAAAAAATTGTTACGGATCGTATTTTGTTTTGGGAAATGTGTAACTTTTAAATGTACCGTGTATTCCTAACATTTGTTTAAAAAAAAAAAAAAAAACCAAACTATTTACCTCGATCATTGACTTATCAATCAAAAATCATGCCACATACTAATTCCTTTATAATACTCTATATATATGCATGAAAACCGCCTAAAAGGAAAATTTACATTAAAATTTGAACACCATCTATTATTCTAAATCCTAAACTTTTGGGTGTTAGAATTTGATTTATTAACTAAGGGTGTTCTATTCAGATTATTTTCAATTCATTCAACTTCATTTCAGTTCATTTTAGTTCTTAATTTTCTTCTCTTATAAAACATTTATTTCAATTCAGTTTAGTTTAATTCAGCTCCAATAATTTCAGTTTAGCTCAGTTCAGTCAATTAGAACAGTTCCTTAAATGTACTTGATAATTAAATGGTTTAACATTACATTAGCATTACACTATAATAATTAAAATGAATTTGATGCTTAGGGTTAACCTAACAAAATTACCATTTATTACGAGTCTAGGGGTATCTGGTTCATTTTCTTACAAATCTCAAGGGTACAATGCATCTTTTAAAACCTCAAAGGTACACGGTGCATTTTTTAAATGTTCACCAAATGTCACTGATCACTTTAATTATTCAACAAATGTCATCAAGGTTTTCAAAATTCACCAAGTGTCACCAATTCACCGAGTGCCATTAACGACTAACGGCCGTCAACTCTGTTAATCATTAGGATTAAATCATGACACATGTCATGATATGATTAATTAATGGAAAAATTGATGGGAATAATCCCACCTTTAGTGCTTTGAATTTTAATAATCCCATCTTTGGTTTTTTTTTTCAATAATGCCACCTTTACCCCCCGATCTTTTTTAGCACTCCCGTTTACTTGAAACCGGCTTACAAGGTAAACTATGTTTACGTGGACTTGGGTACTCTAATTCCCTCTAATTTCCCTCATCAAAGATGACATGCCTCTAATTTCCCTCATCAAAGATGACAAGTCATCTCTCTTTCCCTCCCAACTACCCTCTTTAATGTTTGAAAGTGAAAGAACTGATCCTTCATTACTCACTTCAACATAGCTCTTTTGTCAGCCATAATTGACTTTAACCACTTGCGTACGGTGCAGTGAAGGCTAAAGCTTCCATTTTTGGGCTAAATTTAGACTGCGTAGAACTCCATTTTAGGTAAGTTTTCGAACCCCTAAATTTCATCTAAAATTTTGCGAATTTTGCTGGGCAATGTTGAACCCTAAACAATTAAACTCGAAAATGTTGTTTTTGCGTGCTGGATTTGAATTTGTATCTTACTGTTGAGTTTGAATTGTAGGTTGTTTGTTTTATTTTGCCAAAATTGATGTTGATTATCTGTGAATTTAGTTTGTACCATAAATGCTAGGTTTTTGTTTGGTTTTATTGATTGTTGACTGTGTTGTAGTTCCTTTTAAATTAGGTATGGTTAAAATAAGCTTGAAAATGTGGCATGGAGGGGTGTTTAGGACTCTTGACAATGGTGGGGCAGGGAGAACTTTTAATGTGGATCCTGATGAATTGTGCTCCTTTTATCTTATGGAGTTGGTTATGAAGTGTGCTAGATATGAGAACGGAATTAAGGGATTTTTATACTTAGTTCCTAGATTGAGTATGGTGGATGGTTTGAGGAGGGTGACAGATGATGATAGTATGAGGGAAATGATAAAGGTGGCAGAGAAGTACATGGGAGTGGAGGTTTATGCTTTGCATGATGAGAATGACCCACTACCCTTCCCCTAGAGTTACATGCTTCAGCAAAACAAAACCATCCCAAAAATGTGAGGTCCAAAACTGTGTCACCCAAAAAACTTGAAGTGAAGAGGGGACCACCAGTTAGATGTAGTACAAGAAAGCAAAGTCAGCCATTGACTATTGTTGAACCTTCCCAAAAAGCCACTAACAGCTCACTAAAGCCAAAAAAAGATGCTCCCACAGTTTTTATTCCAAATCCACCATCCATTTCCTTATCCAACCAAAGTACATTTAGAGTAAAATATGTTTTAAACCCTAGTAGCACATCTGAAATAGGGCAACCCCCCATTCTTTCTGAAATTATAGCAGCCTCCAAAAACACAAACACAGACCCTATTGATAATTATGAGTGGGAAGATTCAAGGCCTGACAGCCCTATCCCCATTAATGACTTGATACCAGATTAATCCAGTGACAGTGACAATGGTGACCCTAGTTACAACCCACTAGTTAATAAGGGCAAAGGAATGGTGAGTAAACCTTTCTTTTGAGATGTTTACACAGATGAGAGTGAAGAGGAGGGTGGTGAGGATTTAGATTCCGAGGAAAAAGGAGGTGAGGGTTTGGATGTTGAGGTTTATAGTCTAGAGGAGATAGAGGAAGAGCTTGAGAAGGAGACTGAAGAGATCTTGGATGAGGAGCTTCAATATCAGTCTGATAGTGGGGATGAAGAGTACAACATAGCTAGGCAAAGGGTAAGGGATACCACTGCTCAACTTGTTGAGGTAGCAAGGAAAATTTAACTTGAAGCAGCTAAGGGTTTGAGCATACAACAAGAATTGGAAGGGAAAGGAGGTCGGGAATAGTATAGAGGCTGGGAAAAGTGCAACTGCTGATTCTTTTGGGCCCCACAGTGATTATGAAGAGAGTGATGAGGAAATACACACACCTCCTATTAGTGGTGAGGAAGATTTGACTGTTGGAAGGAGACAAAGATTGGGTATGTTTGTGTCCAAGCATACTGATTTTGCAACTTTTAAGTGGAAAGTTGGGCAAAAATTTGCAAACAGAGAGGACTTCAAGAATGTTGTAGCTAAATATGGAGTGTTGCAGGGAAGAAATGTGAGCATTGCTGTGAGTGACAAAAACAGATCTCAAAGGTTGGGTGTAAAATGCATAAAAAGTTGTCCATTCTATGTATATGCTTCATGGGATACTAGAAGAGCTACAATAGTGGTCAAGACAGTGAAAGGCTCTCACACTTATCAGAGAAATATAAAAAGGAACAGGCAGCTGAAATCAAATTGGGTTACACATCAATTTCTTGATGTGTTTAAGATAAGGCCACATTGCCCATCAAAGGAAATTGTTGAGTGTGTAAGGAAGGGATACAGGATGCTTGTAACAAGAGACTTTGCTTATAGAGTTAAATATAATGCCCATAAAATGTTACATGAGTCAATGCATGACCACTACAACAAGCTGGGTGGGTATTTGAAGGAAATAGAGGAATGCAGTCTTGGAACAGAGTTGGAGCTTGTTACTGACACTAAAAAGCAAGCTATCCACCAATTTTCCAGAAGCTATTTATATGCTTTTAAGGTCCTAAAAGTGGGTGGTTTCAAGGTTGTAGGAAGGTTTTGGCAGTTGATGCATGTTTTCTAAAGACCTTTTTGGGGGGTCAACTGTTCGTTGCTGTTGGTAGGGACAGTAATGATCAAATGTTCCCTGTGTGTTGGTCTGTAGATGGAGTTGTTCTTCATGAAGCTTGTTGCTTGTCTACAACTAGGAGAGGGAGAAGGGATCTCAATAATTTCTAATGAACATTAGGTATCATTCTTAGCTCTATTTTGTCATTAAGAAAGCTTGTTATTTTAGTGTGTTGTGTTGAATTTGCTGTTGTGTTGTTGTTTCTTATGTTTTCTATGATGATAGACTATAGTGCACAGTCTCTCAACTATTTTGCCTAAGGCAGAGCACATACACTATGCTAGACACATATTTGCTCATTGGCACAAGAAGTACAGAGGGGATGATATGAAGCTACTCTTTTGGAGGATTGCTAAATCATACAATATGGCTGACTATAATGAAGGACTGAAGAATCTTGGAGAGTTGAATATAGATGCTGCAAATGATTTCAAACTCCATAGAACTAAATTCTTTTGCAGAGTGATGAGTGTCATTTATGGCACTCATTTGGCCTCTTTTAGGATGATTTTCATACTATTTTATAGCCCTTTTCCTTAGTTTTGTTCTTTATTTCGTTAGTTCTTCCCATAGTTAGTTTCATTGTTTTGTGCATTTCTTTGTTTATTTGTTCTTTTTCCCTTTTATTTGTTTGTTTTCGTTTGTTTTTAGGTTATGATCGTGTTTCCAAGGATTCCCGAGACTTCCTCTCATATTTCTCATCAATTAGGATGCCTCATGTTCGCCTTTCGGAGCTTCAAGTTTGAAGGAACGCAAAGAGCAAGTCAAGAGATTGGTGCACGGATGCGGCGGGCGTCATCTTTGCCATGAACCCACCAAAATGGCCCTTTCAAGACTGCCTTCCTTGGTGTTCATCATCATCATAAAGACGAGCCCACGAGGACGAGCTTGGACGAAGAAGAGAGGGGGCTCCCCTGCTGCCAGGTGCGGCCGCGCACCTGGGTGGCGCGGGCGCGCCTGCCAGGGCTCATGTTGCGTACCCTTTTTCCCACGGCCGCGCCTCTCCTCTGATGTGACCGCGCCTTCCGGGGTTTCTTTTGGGACGATCTAACTAACTCTTCTTTTGTATTTTTCCTATATATAGTTTTTCCTTCTATTTTAGGAGGAGGAGAATTAGAATAGAATTAGAATTAGTTTTAGATCAAAAATTAGAGAGAGAAACTCTAGATTTTTAGAGAGAGAATTTCATGGTGGATTGTTGATGATTGAAGATTTCTCCATTTCCTTTGATTTTTGATCAAGTTTGTAAGGATTCCTTTTTTTTAATTCAATCTTTAGTTTGATCTTTAGTTTGATTTCAATTGTTTTGTTGAATGTTCAAGTTTGATTAAAGTTTAATTGATTTGTGTTTGATTTTAGCTTGTTTGATTTGATCATGATGAATTTGTTGATTAGCCTTGTTTTGATATTGATTTCAATGGCTAGTGAGTAGATAGCTTGCTAGGGTAATGGTGAAGCATGTATGAGTAATGGATTAAAGCTGATTGGGGAAAATTGATGGAGTTGACTATGTGATTAAATTGGTTGATGATCATGTGCGTGGGTGTGATTAGTTAAAGAGTAGCTAACTTTGATTGTTGCACTAGATTGCATTGTAAGTTTGCATTGATACGGACCATTGATTTGTGGCTTGCATTTAACGATTGAGGTGTCTTGTGATGTTTCCTAGGTAGAGTTTATCATAGTTGACGCTAGTTAGACCTCTAGGAGAATAGCTTGATATGCTCTTTTGGTTACATAATTGGTCTTCCCTCACATTGCTTGACTTAGTCACTTTGACCTCCCAATTAGTTGAATTCGTTACGATTGCATGTGGATCCAAGCCCTAGTGTTTATTACATTTGATTTCTTCTCGTCTATTAGTCTTTTTTGTCCTAGCATAACATTCCCACCCAATCGTTACATTTCGGAATAGCTTGACCATAGACAATAGATAATCGCCCACCATTCCTTTGGGTTCGACCCTCAACTTACCATTATACTTGTGTAGGGGTGTGTTGAGTGTTTACAAATTTTGTTTGGCCTCGGGTAGGGGTTAGTTTCAACTACCTAGTCTCGACCCGCGTCAAAATGGCGCCGTTGCCGGGGAATGGTGTTGTGATTGTGTATTGTTGTTGAGTCTATTCCATCTTATTCAAAAATACAAAAAGATTTTTCTTCTTTCTTTTAGGCTACACTTGTAGCCGCGTTACTAACAATTTCTTTTGAGCTTTTGCATGCATAGTAGAACTCGTGTTAGGTCCTTAGTTCCTTTGGATCCGGAAATATAAAGAACTCTTTCACGAAGAAGCATAGCCAACCGGTCTTTGAGTCTAAGTTCCTCAAGTGAAGAAGAGTTTGAGGAAGAAGAAGAGCAAGCCATGGGAGAGAATCCAAGAGTAGCTTTGAAGGAGTTGGGAATTCCCGGTGCTTATAGGTTTGAGAGTGGCATTGCTCCACCTACAACACCGGCAAACGATTTTGAAATTAGACCGGCCATTATTACTTTGATAGAAAGGAGGCAATTTAGTGGAGCCAAGAGTGAGAGCCCGTTGAATAACCTAAAGGAATTTGAGAAGTATTGTAATACTATCAAGGTGAACGACATTTCTCAAGAGTTCATTCGGCTAAAGTTGTTTCCTTTTTCTCTTATTGGTCGTGCCTTAGAGTGGTTGGATAAAGAGGTTAAGCTAAATTCCCTTAGGACATGGGATGAAGTCACCAAAGCTTTCTTGTCTCACTTTTACCCACAAAAGAAGACGGTGGAGCCTAGAGCCTTGATCCAAGGATTCAAACAAAGGCCTAATGAGAATCTCTATGAAGAATGGGAGAGGTACAAGGAGTACCAAAGTGAGTGTCCACATCATGGAATTCCTACCTATCAAGTGATACAAATTTTCTATGGAGGCTTGAGTGCTCAAGGCAAGTCATGCGTAGATGGAGGAGCCGGAGGTCATATAATGAATAGGACGGAAGAAGAGGTAGTTGTCATAATTGAGGATGTGGTGAGATACTATAGAGATTGGCAAGAAGGAGAGAGGGAGTCTACGAGCAAGAGTGGCTCGACGCTTTATTCGGTGGATCATCTCAACGCGATTAGCAACTTGTCTTCTCAAATTTCAAATCTAGGGAAGGAAGTGACGTCGATCAAAGCAAAGCTTCAGAGTGTTTCTACGAATTCATTGAGTCTTCCCTCCCAATCCAAAGGGAGAGGTACACTTTCTAACTCTTCTTCTTCTACTTCCAATAACATGCCAAGTGGTTGTCTATTTTGTGATTCTTGTGGATCTTATGATCATGATTCTTCCATGTGTTTTCAAACTTTTGTTGATGGATGTGATGATGTTGAAATTAATGAATGTGAACATGTGAACTTTGTGTCTAATTTCAATGGTGGTCAAAGGTTTGATGGACCTAAGAATTTTAGTAATAGGAATTCTCACCCCCAAGGTGGTTTCGATAACTACAACAATGGAGGCTATAGGAACCAAGGAAACCAAGGTTTTCGAGGTAACTATAACAACCAAGGCTATAGTAATCAAAACCAGAGCCATGGGTATGGTAACCAAAGTCAATCTCAAGGCTTTGGTAATCATTACCATAATGGTGGCAATAATAAAGGCCGTGGCAATTGGAACAACAACCAAAATCGGGGAAGTTTTCAAAATAATAACCAAAGGGGACCCCCACCAGGTTTTGCTCCAAAGCCTCAAGGCAATGGTGAAAATTCTTATTCCCAACCATCATCATTTAAGACAAATTTGGAAGAAATGATTGATAACCAAACCAAGATCATCAACACATATATGGCGGTGAGTGACAAGAAATTTAATGAGATGATGACTCATAACAAAATGCTTGAGACACAAATAACCCAACTAGCCAACATTATAAAGGATTGTGCTAGTCCATCCTCTTTGCCTTCTCAAGGATTGGAACCTAAGAAACCCGTTTATTCTATTACCACTAGGAGTGGGAGAGTTCTTAATGAGGGAGCTTCTAGGTCCATTGAGGAGGATGAGGAAAGGAGTGACCCAAGAGTGGAAGTTGAGAAAGTTGAGTCTAAGAGTGTGAGTTATGAGGATGTGCAAGAGCAAAAAAGGAGTAGTGAGAAAGAGCGTGAGGAAGTGCGGAGACCCGACCTCCCAGACCCACAAAAATTCTTGAGGCACAAAATTGATGAGCAATTTGGAAAGTTTATTGCTATGCTCAAGGAAGTTCACCTTTCTATCCCCTTCACCGATGCAATTACCCAAATGCCTAGGTACTCTAAGTTCCTTAAGGAGATTTTGAGTGGGAAGAGAATGTGCAATGAAGTTGATTCGGTTGAAGTTGGGAGTTGTTGTAGTGCTTTGATTCATAATGAGTTGCCCAAGAAGATGGAGGATCCGGGAAACTTCTCTATTCCATGTGAGATCAAAAGGAAAATGTTTAATAATGCTTTTTGTGATCTTGAAGCAAGTGTGAGCGTCATGCCTTATTCAATTTTCAAGAAACTCGAGCTAGGTGAGCTACTCCCATCTAACATAACCCTTCAATTGGCCGATCGGACTACTATGATTCCAAAGGGGAGAGTTGAGGATGTTCTTCTTAAGATAGGAGGGTTCACTATTCCCGTTGATTTCATTGTGCTTGAGATTGCGGAAGATGACCCCTATCATTTTAGGAAGACCTTTCTTAGCCACTTCGGGAGCCTTAATAGATGTGAAAGGAGGCCGTATTACCTTGAGAATTGGTAAGAAAGAGGAAAGCTTTGAGTTGAAACCAATGCATGAGTCTTTGTCTCTTGTGCAAGGAATTATGTGTGCTAATTCCCCTCGCTCTATTGATAATGTGTGCATGATTAATTCTTCAACTAACGATGTTCTTGAGAATTGTGATGATGTTCTTTCAAGTTTTGATGGCAAGAAGGTTAGTGAAGAGAAAATGATGATTCCCAAGCTTAGGGACGAGGAGGAAGTTGAAATCCCTCATTGGTTTGAGCTCTATCCTCAAGATGGAAAGGATGCTTCCATGAGTATGGATGGTGAGAAACCATCTACAATAAGAAACAAGACAAAGAAAAAAGCTCGTGATTCTAAGAAGAAGCGAGAGAGAAAGAAGTTACGGAAAGAAAAATTTGCAATTGAAAAGTCTTTGAAGGAAGTTTCATCAAGCAACAACAAGAGGTTGCTAGAAGTTGAAAAAGAATTTGCTCTTTCCGCTACCTTGAAGAAGATGGTGTTCTTTGACCCTCCATGATTTGGAGGAAGGTTCGAGCTTAGGACCATAAGCAAGCGCTTCCCGGGAGGCAACCCTGAGATTTCTAACTTTTCTTTTTTATTTTTGAATTTCTCTTATTTTTCCTTCTTTTATTTTCTTTTCTTTCACTTTTCTACTTGATTGGATTTGTAGGTTGCATTTTTGGGATTGGATTTCATTAAGTGAGCATGAAGAATGAGAAGGTGTTTTGCGGTTTTTGATGTGATTATACTCGATTTTATTGAAATTTGAGGTAAAAGGGTAAGAATCTTGGTGAGTTAAGTTAGGGATTTTGTGCTTTAAAGTTGAAGGAAGTTTGCACTTGGTGGGTTCTTCTGGTGGGTTCATGAAATTCTAGTTTTGAACCCACTAATACGGGATTTCGCTACTGCTTATGTTGGTGTTTATCATCATCATTATTCGTGTACCCACCAAATGAATGCACCAAGAACTTAAAAAAAAGAAGAAGAGAGAGCTTGGCTGGGCTCAGGTGCGGGCGCGCACGCACTTGGTGCGGCCGTGCACCTGGCTGGTGCGGACGCGCATCTAGCTGGTGCGGCCGCGCACCTGGCTGGGTGCAAGCGTGCACCTGGCTGGTGCGGGCGCGCATCAGCCCGTGCTTCCCCTTTATCTTCCTTACTTCCTTTCTTCTTTCATTTCCCCTTATTCCTCCTTCATAGCTTCGACCCCCATCATCCTCAAACCCTCAAGACTACACCACTCACTTCAACAAATCATCAAAATTTCAACTCAAATCACTCAAATTTTCACTTCAAATTCACTAAGACCTACATTTTCATCCAAATCATCAAATTCATACTACTTTAATCAAATTAAACCTCCAATCTCTCTCATCCATACCTGGGTATAATTTGAGGTTTTTCTATTTGGTGGAAATTGGTGGTTAAAAGTGGTTCAATCTTGCTTCATATATGGTATAATCATCTTCTCTAGCTTTTAATTGCTCAATTATGTCATATATTTGCATGTTTTGATTTGTTCATGAGCATGAATAGTGGTAGTACCAACTTTGATGTTTTTTATGATTGATATTGGTTTTTGGTTGATTATTTGAGTTGTTTGTCATTTGATTTTACCTCACATTGTGTTATTCGTTGATTTTGTAGCATTTGTGAGCAATTTTGTTGAGAATTTTGGAATTTAAATTTTGGTAATTTGGGTAGTAAGGTGCTATTGTGGTATTGGTGGTTCTTCTTGTGATTGTTGATTGTGTGGGAAGAAATTGTTGGATGTTTGGTGTTGTTTGGTAATTTAGATTGGAATTGTGATTTGTGGATATTGAAGTTCTTGGTTGGAGATTTTGCGGATTGTTGTGGGGAATTTTGTTATTGGTTTTTTGTGATCCTTGCACTTGAAGTTCATCATGTCGAGAGTCCTCAAAAACCTTGTTAAGAAACGCAAAACAAACACCTCCACTGATGAACCTACCCCAAGCACATCCACCTCCAAAACACGCAACCCTACTCCACCACCCAAAAGAAAATTCCACGATAAAAAACACAAGAACCAGTACCATAAATTAAAAGAAAACCGCTCCCTTAAACCCACGAGACACTACTTCTAATCCGACATGTCCGCATTGGGGATCGATGAGGATGTAAGGGAGTTGTTGATCAACCTACGAATGGGCACATTCATCTCCCGTAGCTACCGCACCTATGTTGAGCCCACTCTCGAGTTCTTTGCTTCGGTTGAGATAGTTCCCGTAGATGGTCAATATAGGGTTCAATTCCAAATTTTCAACAGCTTCTTCGACCTCTCCTTAGAGCAATTCAATGCCGCTCTAGATTTTGATCCTCATGGTGACATTTTGGATCTAGAGCCTTATATTTTTGAGGAGTATGATCAGGATTCTTGGTGGGACGATATCTCCGGAGGTGGTGAGTTTGTCACCAAGCGGGCCAAGATTAGCAATGTCTACCAACCTTGTCTTCCGGTTGTTCACCGTCTTTTGGGGTACTCGGTTTTCCCCAAGCAAGAGTTGGGCAAGATGAGGAAATTGGGCTCAAAATTCTATGGTTGGCCACTATAGGAGAATATCGTGGCCGGTTGAACTTGGGGTATATTTTTGCCACTTATTGTGTAGCCTTGCAAGACTAGGACACCGGGGAGATACCTTGTGGGGGAATGGTCACTAGACTCTTGACCAACCTCCACCTTGATCATAATTTGCCTTATTACAAGCCGATTGGAGATGCCGACTCCGTGTACCTTGATATGAAACAATTGGGGCAAATTCAATTTATCTCGAAGCATTATGAGGAGGGGCATTATGAGTAGCTTCGGGATAACAAGCATTGGTGCTACCTTCCCAACCCATCTTTGACATCTCTCCACCGGACGGACACCCCTAATGTGTGGCATGTCCCTAAGAGCTTCCGTCGCCCATTCTTTGACTCCGATGAGGAGGAAGAAGAAGAAGAAGAAGAAGAAGACGAGGAAGAACAACATCAACGACAACAACAACAACAACAACATCAAGGGCAAACGCAACAACCTCAATTTTCTAGCTCCGACTTGGAGGCCCTTAGTAACCAAATGAGTGGGTTAAAAATCCTCTTGGAGGGCATGTATGACCAAGATTTTGAGGCCCTCTACTCCCAAATGCGAGGTATTTTTGAAATGCAACAAGGTATGTTCATTCAACAACAACAACTTTATGATGCGGAGGTTAACCGAGGGAGCATCACTCCCTCGGTTAACTATCCTTACTTTCCGCCCCAGCAAGGTCCTATACCTTCGCATGGGCATCCTTATTGGCAAGGGCCTTTAGAGCCCGGTACCGAGCCCCGTTCTTACCCGGACGAGCATGGTAACTACGATTACCGTGCTCCCGGAGGGTATGACTATAGGGGTGACCCTAATTACCCCTATGTGCACCCTAACCATCCATTTGAGCTCACCTTGCCCGAGAAATTCACACCTCTTGCCCCTTGGCAACAAGATAACTTCAAGGGGCATTATGGTTGGCCCAAGGGATTCATCGGAGGTTAGGCTCCTTACTCACCCCCAACCTTCGATGACTACATGGGCCACAATGATTCTAATGAGGCTGGGCCAAGTGGTGGTGGTAATGATGAGGCTTAGTTTCCTCTCTTTTGTGCCTCTTACCTCCATCCCTTATGTTTATGTTCTTGATTTGTATTGATTGGGATGTTGAGATGTATTCATGTTTAGCTTGGGGGAACTTCTTTGTATCTCGGTTGCCAATATTTGTGTTGTTGCATACCTTGAATTTTATTCGCCTCTTGCATGATGGTTTTCTTGTCTTGGTCTCTAGTCTTGTTGATGCTTGTTGCTAGTCCCATGAGTTTGTTTTGTCATTGTTGTTGTGATGATTTTCTTGTGATGGGGTTGATTGTTTCTTGTTTCCTTATATCCAAAACCCTTGAATCCAAATCCCTTTGAATCCAAATCTTGTAGTTTAGTGCCTTTTAGTTAGTTAGTTGTTTACTTAGTTTTCTTTACTTTCCATTTTGGTTTTTGTTAGCCTAGTTTTGCTCAGTTGTTTAGTGTTTTTGTTAGCTTTGTTTAGTTTTACTTTTTAGTATATTTTTCTTTTGTTTTGAAGTTACTAACCTTTTTCTTTGTTTATAGCTTCTTTTACTTTTCTTGTTCTCACATGGCTTTTTGATGATGCTTACGATTTTAGAGTGCAACGATGGTGGTTCTTTATATCACCTTTGTTTATTATGATAAGCATGGATAGCCCAGTGAGAACTTTCTAATTTTTCTCTCTATTTTCTTTGGATGCATAGATTAGGTTTAGTTTAGGGGAAGTTGAACGGTTCGAGGATGATTGCTTGTTAACACGTAATGTGTTTGGGATCGTTGACGATGTTGTCATTCGATCACTTGTATGTCGATTGGGATATACGTGTTTAACTTGCTTTCTAGTTCCTTTCTCAAATTTTCCTATTCTTTCTTTATCTATCGCTCTCCTTTTCTTTTCTTTTCCTTTTATTTTTCTTTTCTCTTATTTTTACTTTGTTCTTGTCTTGGTATATGGTTTGCTTTTGAGGCTTATTTTTCATTTTTGTTTTCCTTATGAATTGGACTTTGTACATTAGACTTTATCTTTTGCATGAATTTCAACCTAGGTAGTAAAGGTATGCACGGTTTGAGAGTATGCTTGGTTGATTCTAGGATAAAGCATGCTAAGATAGTTGGTTAGAACTAGGAGGATCATGAAGCCGGATTCTACTTGCTTGTGGCATGTTGGTAGTTGCTTCCTATAGTCGATTTGACACCACTAGTGAGTTTTTGCTACATCCATGTGAGGTTCATCGTTTTTTCAAGCCTTGAACCTATTTTGTATGAGTGGCGTGGATCCTTGACTATTGCAAACCTAATCCATAAAGCTTGATTTCTGATTCTTAAACCCGAGACCGAGCTATCTAGGGAGGACAAAGACACCTTTTTCGGGGTGGTATTTTTCATTTTTAGGATAGTTTGTTTAATATTTATTTTTGGGTTT